GGGCGGGGGGTCGCCAGGGACCGACCAGCCATTGGGATGGCCTTCCGAGGCTCTGGAGGGTTTAGTCCACATTTGGGTCCAGTCTTGTAAAATGCGATCGAGTGCCGCTTGGCCTACTAGCGGCCGAATGCCCTCCATTGCCTCCGTGCCCTCGGCGCCTTCCCCATCCGCAGCCACTGGTAGCAGCCGCGACTGGAGGGCCAGGGGATCCTGCGGAGAAAACAGGCAGCGGCGGAGGACAAGGGCCTTTCGAGTACCCGTGGGCCGCCCGTTCTCCTCGCACAACAGCAGACTGGGCCCGCGCCCTCCATCTCTGTCGGCCTTCCGCTGTCTCTTTCTGCACTCTGCAGTCAACTTCGCGCTGGATCGCGTCTGCTAGGTCCGACCAGCTGGGCCCATTCAGCCGTCGAAACAGTTGCCCTATAGTTAGCGACGCCAGCAGCTGGTCCCCACCCCCCCTTCAGGAGGTCTTGCAACGGCCGCGCTGAGGCAAGCAGGTGCTCCCTCCTATCTGGGGATTTGGCCTTCATATACTGCGGAGCTAGGCGACGTAGCGACAACCATCGCTGGGTGAGGGGTTGGGGGCGCCTTTGCAACCCGCGTCTCCACGATGTCTCGAGCGGCGCCAACTGGACCTTGCACTCATTGGCCCTGCCAAAACACTGGCGACCTTCTATGCCATGCAGTCGCCCAAGCGCCGCCTCGGCCGCAGTGGACCAGCGCTCCATCGCGACTTGGGACTCTACTGTCTCCTGGCCAAGCGGGAGCTCCTGGAGGCCTGGCTCACGCTTCATGCGGGCCGTCTCTTCCTCATTTTGGGGTAGGGGGAAGCCTCGGGGAACCACTCGTTGCCGCACTTTGGCTTGTCCAGCCACTTGCCGCAACTTCAGCGCAACAGCAGAGTGCGGCCCCGCGGGCACGTCAGCCTGCTCAGCACAATCCTGGATGTGGTACTCCAGACATCGGCTCACCACGAACAACTCGCAGCAATTGCTGTGACAGGTGCCCCTGGGGGTCTCGCGACCGTGGCCCCAAGATGATCTGCCCACTGTGGCTCCATCAGCTGCTCGGCGTCAACTTCCAATCGCCTCCTATGACAAAAGGGCAGCCATCAGCGGCCACCGCTGCACCGAGCTCGTCTAAAAAAGATGTTGGCACCTGCCAGTCCCAGGGTCGTGTGGCCGTAGATCGACGCAAGAGGGTAAGGAAAGGCCTGATGCACCATCGCCATTATCATGCAGAGCCGCTCAGTCCACCGTTCAGGCGCATGCTCGCAACTGCCAAAGTGCGTCTTGCTCAAAATGGCCGCGCCCCCAAATGTCTCACGAGCCCCTGCGCCCTTTCTGGCCGCAGACGCAAGCCATGCCATGTAGCCCGCCTTGTGGCTCCAGCTGCGGGCCGTCTCGATCTGTGGGGCTTCCGATCGATGCTCCTGAAAAAACAAGGCATCTCACGCTGTTAGGTGAACCTCGCGGGCCCGCTCCATGTGTCCTTGAGCCGTCGGCCACGACTTGCAGTTGTAGCTGACCACCTGTCGGTCCCATCGCGCAGCCGTCGGCGTGCGGAGGGGCCCTCTAGCGCCTGGGGCGTCGGCCGCCCGCGCATCTGCGGCCCGGGGGCGAGGAAGGGTGCGATCGAGGGCCCCGGCCACCCGCGTGTCTGCGGCCTCGATCCAGCACCCTGCTCCTTCCTCTTTCAGGGTCTGCCCCGCCGCGGGCTCCCCGGGGTCGAGAACGCCGCGCCCCGCCGCGCCTTGGGAGCCGTAACGCCCCGGGGCATCGGCCACCTGCCCGTCGGCTGCCCAGGGCGTCGGCTGGGCCTGTTCGAGGGCGTCGACCACCCGCGCGCCTGCGGCCTCGATCCACCGCCCGCTGCTCCCTTTCGAGGTCTGCCCGTCTGTAGGCTCCCTCAGGACCTGTTGCGGCCCCGTCTCTTGGCAAGGCGCTTCTGGGGGGGGGGGCGCTCCGCCCCGGGGCGTCGACCACCTGCGCGTCTGCAGCTCAGAGTGGAGGTTGGGTCTGATCGAGGGAATCGACCACCCGCACGTTTGCGGCCTCGATCCAAGACCCGCTGCCCTCCTTCAGGGTCTGCCCTGCGCTGGGCTCCCCAGGGGCCGCCCGCCCCGAAACATCAGGTCGCCGTCGCCCTGCCCAGCTGGTCCCTGAAAAAGTCCAGCAGACGTCGCAGTTCGCCCCCGTGGTGTTCAGCAAAGGCCTGCCGCACTTGAGCTGGTAGCGGACTCATCTTTTCGCGCGGGGCCCTGCGGTGGCCCATGGCCTCCCTCCAGGCCTCTCGGGACACCTCGGACACCCCTTGCTCCAGCTCCCCTGGGGCTTCCTGGCCGTGGTCCCATCGGGCGCGACCGCTATGCCTGCGCACCA